TTCAGCCACCCCCCCTCCCTGCTAGGAACACCAGGAGGGGGCGGGGCCGTGACGTCTCGTGTTCCAACTCCCGTTCCGCCCCTCACAGATTTCTACAGCATCTGGAAGGAGCAGGGCCTACTGACAGATATTTGGCTGGAGAAAACTCTGCGCAGAGGTTACGCGCTGCAATTTTTCCGAAAGCCACCACCATTCCGAGGCGTACGGGCAGTACGCTCTCAGGTACGGGGATCGACAGAGGCACTGCAAGCGGAGGTCTCCTCTCTGCTGAGTCGAGGCGCAGCAGTGGAGGTAGACCCGCAGGACGCCACCAGGGGGCTGTACTCCCCTTACTTCTTAGTGCCAAAGAAATCAGGCGGGGTGCGTCCCATTCTGGATCTGCGCGTGTTAAACGAGTGCATTTCCAAACGGCAGTTTCGGATGCTGTCCACAAGACAGCTCCTCGAGTGTGTCAGGGAAGGAGACTGGATGACTTCCATAGACCTGACAGACGCATACTTCCACGTGCCCATAGTGCCAGAACACAGGAGGTTTCTGCGCTTCGCAGTGGGAGAGAGGAATTACGAGTACTGCCGTCTCCCCTTCGGGTACGCACTCGCGCCTCGCACCTTTTCCAAATGTGTGGAAGCAGCTCTGGAGCCGATCAGACGTGCGGGGGTAAGAATATTAACCTATATAGACGATTGGTTAATACTGGCCCCATCCAGGGAAGTGGCCGTGAGCCACACGCACTGGGTCCTGTCCCACATACAGCGTCTGGGCTTTGTGGTGAACAGGGAGAAGAGCAAGCTGCAGCCAGCCCAACGCATGGTTTACCTCGGTCTGCAGCTAGACTCTGTGATATTCCGTGCTGCATTGTCCATGGACAGACGGATGAGTGTTACCCGTCTGGCCCGGGAGGTTCTGGCGGGCCCCAGAGTCCCCGCTCGGCGCCTCAGGTCCCTGCTGGGAATGATGGCAGCGGCTCATGCTGTGGTGCGGCTAGGCCTGCTCCACATGAGAAATTTTCAGAGGTGGTTCTCGCGCCTCAGGCTTCACCCCTCCCGGGACGGGGGAGGCTGATCTGGGTTCCCCAAGGGGCAGCACCGGACATCAGGTTCTGGCTCACTCCGGGTCTATTGCGGGACGGAGTGACTCTGGCCTGCGCTGTGTCTCACGTCGAGGTGTTCACGGACGCGTCGCTCGAAGGATGGGGCGGGGTCCTCGGCCAGAGCTCTGTAGGAGGCTGCTGGTCGGACTCAGCCCGTCACATCAACCTGCTGGAGATGGAGGCAGTGCACAGAGTACTGCTGCACTTTGCCCCTCAGCTGCAGGGGAGACACGTGATGGTGCGCTCAGACAACACCACAGTGGTCTCCTATCTGAACAGGCAGGGGGGCACCAGGTCCCCCGCTCTCCATCGCATGGCGACGGTGACGCTGCTGTGGGCGGCGCTTCACCTCCTGTCTCTCAGGGCGCGCCACGTCCCGGGGGTCCGGAACGTGGGAGCCGACAGAATGTCCAGGACGAGTGGGGCCTGGCCCCACGGGTAGCTGCGGAGATCTGGCGGAGGTTCGGCCGTCCAGTAGTCGACCTTTTCGCCAGTGCAGAGAACGCACAGTGCCCGTCCTGGTTCGCCTTAAGGGCCGCGGACGAGCCGCCTTTAGGCGTGGACGCTCTGGCTCATTACCCATGGCCAGGCGGCCTGTTGTACGCTTTCCCACCGGTGCGTCTCCTGCCGGTCCTGCTGCGGAGGATCGAACAGGAGAGGAGATCGGTGATTCTGGTGGCTCCGGACAGTCCGCATGCCCGGTGGTTCCCCTTCCTGAGGGGCATGGCGGTGATGGAGCCCTGGGCCCTCCCGGACGAGCCGGGGGCTCTAGTCCAGGGGGCAGGAGCCCTTTTTCACGTCCGATAATCGGCCGCAGGCTCTGGGTTTGGAGGTTGAGAGGCGGAGCCTCGTAGATCTGGGTCTTCCCCCTGCGGTGGTGGAGAACTATTCAGGGAGCGAGGGCGCCGTCCACCGTGAGGGCCTACGCCACGAGGTGGAGGCTATTCAGTGTCTGGTGCGATTCCCGTTCCTGGGATCCCAGGTGTTGCCCGCTGTAGGGGGGTCCTGGGATTCCTACAGGAGCTTTTCGACAAGGGGAGGGCTGTCGCTACCTTGGCGGTGTTTGCGGCAGCCATTACTTCGGGTCACGACGGGTTCGGGGGGTTCACAGCCCGCTCTCACCCGTTGGTTAAACGTTTTCTGCGGGGGGCGCGCAGGAGGAGGCCCCCGCTCCAGAGAACGCCTCCGGTTTGGGACCTCAGGGTGGTCCTTAGGGGGCTGTCGGGTTCGCCTTTTGAACCGGCGGCGGAGGCGAGTCCCGAGTGTATCGCTTTTAAGACGGCCCTCTTACTGGCGTTGGCGTCTGCTAAGAGGGCGGGCGATTTGTGTGCGCTCTCCGTCCATGCGTCGTGCCTGTCCTTTGGAGAGGACGACGGCATGGTGGAGTTGTGGCCCAATCCGGCTTTTCTCCCCAAGGTCATCACGTCGGCCTTTAGGTCGAGAGTGATCAGGATTAGGGCTTTCCACCCGCCGCCGCATGCCTCCCCCGAGGAGGAGCGGCAGCACCTTCTGTGTCCTATCAGAATGCTGAGGCATTACCTGGCCATGACGTCGTCATTCAGGTCGGGTGATCAGCTGTTTGTGTGTCTGGGCCCCAAGAACAGGGGCGCCCCGCTGTCGGCTCAGCGGCTGGCGCATTGGGTCGCCGCGGCGGTGCGACGGGCGTATCAGACGCAGGGCCTGGCCCCCCCGGTGGGTTTCAGGTCGCATTCCACGCGTGGGATGGCGGCCTCTACGGCCCTTCTCAGGGGGGCGTCGGTCGAGGACGTTTGCCGTGCGGCTTCTTGGGCGTCGTCCTCCTCTTTCGTCCGGTCTTATCTTTCGGATGTGTCGGACCGGTCGGTGGCCCATTCCGTGCTGAGTGCAGCGGATTGAGTTAGACCGTTGGGTCCCTCCCCTGAGGGGTGGGCCTTCGGTCTAGTTTCCGCCCTGGTGCAGGAGCTCTTGGGAGAGGCATCCTACAGGTGCGGTACATTGTGTGTGTGGTCGGTCTGGTAGTCCACGTCAGGAGCTCTTGGGAGAGGCGTCCTGTGACTACGGATGACCTACGGCTTGTGTTACGTGGGGGTATCCTTGGTAGGAGTGGCCCCGTAACACGCTTGTTCTTCTGCCCTGAGTCCTCTCACGTTGTGAGGGTCTTACTCGGGCGGAGCTCCAATCACCCTTTGCTGGCCTGCTGGGAGTACATTTTCCTACGGCCTCCGCGTTGTGTCCCACTAGCGAAGTCCTAAGGGACGTAGCACCATGACGTAGAATTAATAGTTACTTAATGTAACTTAAGTTCTACGAATAGGTGCGTAGTCCCTTAGCTACGAGCCCATCAGGCCAGCCCGGCTTGGCAGAGTTCAAGAGGGGGTGCGGCCTTGTGCAGGGGCATTTATAGAGGAAGGTGGCTGGTAATTGGAGCAAATTATTTTGATCTCTCTGGCGTGTGACCTGGGGGTCACGTGATATCCCACTAGCGAAGTCCTAAGGGACTACGCACCTATTCGTAGAACTTAAGTTACATTAAGTAACTATTAATTTTAAATATACAACCTTAGAACAGCATAGAGTGATATTTTATTAACAGATTGCAAGGCATGGTCCAAACTGCAGCCTGCTGTGTCACATACTGTGGCACAAACACAGTAACACAAAATTAGGCAATGAAATCATACACATACATTCTGTGTCATACAGCCAACTTCATCTCTGGCCCAATACAGACATCTGCACATCATTACAACTCAGAACATCATTTGATTATTCCAACATGTATTTATGATCATGCAAAAAACGTACATATGATTCTCATGCACTGAGAATACATTTGTTACGTTTTACATTCAGCTCGCCAACTTCAGCTCCATTAAAGTGATTGTTGTGAAAGGGCACTCTTGAAAAATAGATTATTTATCTCAATAAGGTTTTCCCTGGTTGACATAAAGTTACATAAAAAAAAATATATATATAAAGTTGACAATACCTTGTTTAAAGCCAGAACCTCAAGCTCAAGAAGTTTAAAAGAGATTTACAATATGGGGCCTCTGGACAAATCTGAATTTATAACTGCAGAATAAACAGTCTATAGTCAGGCCTTATATTTATACACCTGAGCGGGATAAAGCTGGGGGTATGACATAGTACTGTGAAAGTTAACTACCCCCTTTAAACGAGCGTAATTCCACAAAGATCTGATAATACATCGATTGTCACGCGCACTTTCAATATTTGTGCTTCTTTACGCTTACACTCACTTGGATCTGGCATCCGCAGTTGTCCAGAGGGTAGTGATCCGTCAGGCAGGCTTTAGCCATTAGCTTTTCGTGTCAACAAACTCACGTCGAAGCTAATTTTCCGAGATTGATCCATGGACATATCGTGACACTCGACAGGAACCCGGTAGGAAGCCTGTTTCACCCGTTTTCGTCTTTTAATCAGTGCAAATGGCAGCGTTATGTTATCTGCATGGATTGTTTAGCTAGGTTTGCTAGCTGTAAACGCAACACTAATAACGATCTTGGGCCTACAGCTAATAAACCAGATCGCATTTCCAATAAATGACATATCCATTATGTTGTGATGATAAATACAAGAAAATAAGCAACTTCTCAAAGTAAATTTTGTTTCACTATTTGATTTTTCAAATGCAGAATATATTAGCTCACGAGCATTAGTTGCTTCTTGTCAATAGTCAAAAGTTCTTGCTCCAGTTGAGGTTATACGCTTGGTTCGACCTGTCAAATTAGGAAAAGTTCAAACCTTCACTTCAAGGATTAGAATTAAATGTCCATGTTGGCATGTCCTGTAATGGATTCATCTTATTCTCTTCGTATATTGTATTTCAGTGTTGAAGAAGGTGTTACAGATGTCTCCTCATATTTGACCCCAGCTCTCCAATAGTTCTTTTGTGTTTTGTGAAGAGACCATGACTACTGTCAACATCACCAGAGACCTTCTCAACCGGCAGATCAGGGTGGGTTTCACACATGTTTGCTCATGTTCAAAAGTTTGGGGCCATCCTTTTATTTTTACACCATTAACTAACACATTTCATTTTTTTTTTGTAAATGAAGAATAATACAAACATTGAAAGAAAGAAAATAACCAAAACAACATTGTTTGAAAAAAAAAAAAATATTATATCTTATTTCAAAACATTTATATAGGTATTTTTAAATCCAAATCTTCTGTGTGCAGCTGTCATAATAGTCACATTACCCTTGATGATTGTGATTCTGATTAATTACATTTTCTCTACATTTACAATCAAACTGCTTTTATAGTTGAAATATGGGAAATCCTTCAAGAGTGTGTTTGTTATTTTTATTTCATACTGTACTTTGTGGTAAAGCTCAGTACCAGTGGCAAACTTCCATCCAAGGAGGTAATGTAGCTGGTGAGAGGGTAAACATTTGTCATTCAGCCAACTCCAGCTCAGTCTTTTACTATCTGCGTGGTCGGTCCAAGGTACATTTACGGGGGAAGAAAAGTGGCCCTCTTACTATGAAGTTTGGACACCCCTGCTCTATACTCATGGAAGAGTAGAAATAGATCAAATTGCTGCAGTTATGGCAGATTTAATCTATTTCCAGTATGTTTTCTAAGGTTCCCACGCTTTATTAACCATGAGGCTTGACAAGTTCTTGTCATTTGTTCTTCACATGTTCAGGACAAAGGGGCCACGAGGTTCCAGAGACTCCATCATGTGACCGACCCCTTCATCAAGAGGCTGGGGCTGGAGACAGAGCTGCAGGTGAGAGTGTTGTGTACTCACTACCAGGAAGATTGAGAGCTTCCCTTGTTCATATCATGAAACTCTGTGTTTTAGGGTCATACTGGCTGTGTCAACTGTTTGGAATGGAACGAACGCGGAGAGTAAGTTTTTCTCTATGCTTTTACTGCCTAAAATTTTACTTGATCTACTCCATGTCCTGTAAATAGTCTGATTGTAATACAAGCAATACAAGCAAATTATTATTATTTTAAAATGATATTGAATGTATATATTTACCCTTGCGCTATCTTTGGGTCACATTGACCCACCACAGTGATAAAAAACCTGATATAATTTAAGTACAGATAAATGGTGAGCAACCTTCTTTTGTTTTGAAACGTAAAATAATAAATCATGTAAAATTAAGTAAGCTATGCATGACTCCATGTAGAGCAATTATTTTCTGCTCCTTTGGAAGAAGAAAGCATTTCATGGCCCTCGCTTTATATTTAGATCAGCTCAGAAAATCCGCTCTGCCCAAAAAGTCAAATGACAACTCCCTGGGCTGATTTGTTCACAACATGATTTAACTTTTGGACACAGACTTGGACACAACAAACATGCATTATTATTCATTCATTCATTCATCTTTATCCCTTTATTATCAATTTCTGGGTCAGGGGGGTAGCAATCAGAGCTGCCACCCAAGATGGCTGCGCCTTCAATGCAGATACAGCCTTGATTTTTCAGCAGGGACTTCAGGCAAAGTGGGGTTAAGTGTCTTGCCCAAGGACACAACGACAGCAGACATCAGTGAGAGCAGGTGACATGAGTAGTGGTAGGATCGAACCCACGACCATTACTTTAATTTTGTGAGATTTAGTTCTGCTTCTGGAGGAGACTCAGGGGGACAACATGGACACTTCTTGAGGCTCCCATAATCCAGGTTTGTTTCTTGCAGCAGCATATTTCAGAATCAGAATAATTTTTATTGCCATGTAAGTAATAGGAAGTCACACACTAGGAAATGGCTTTGGCTCTCAGTGCAATCAAGTCAGAAGTAGAGAAGAATAAGGCATAATAAAACATTTCTAAAACATTTCTAAACTTCTCTAAAGTATAGCTTTTTCTAAGATGGGAGTTAAAAGTTGTGATTATTACTATATACAAGTGCACTCGTTGCACACCATATAAAATGTACTTTAAGCAGTGCAGTAAAGTGGGTTTATAAGGACAGTAAAGTGACTTTATAGAGGAGGGGGGGGGACAAGGTTATGAAGTGTTCAAGAGACCAACAGCAGAGGGGATGAAACTGTTCTTATGGCGGGAGGTTCTGGTCTGAATGGACCACCGCCCCCTGTCTCAGGGGAGAGGTTCGAACAGTCCATGTGCCGCTCGGTTGTGTTACAACCAGCCCAGCCTCGAGCTCGGGCGTCATACAGGTCCTGCATCGACGGTATGGCTAAAGTATATCCTGCTCGATTTAGATGGCCGAGCAGAGACACCCAGACTTCCCTTTACACAGTTCCTCTAGCTCATTCTGGGGAATCCTGAGGCATTCTCAGGCCAGCTGTGAAGACACTGTCCCTCTCTAGGTTTTTACAAACGAACTAGGCCAAGTGGCCTGGATCGTCGCCACAAGGGTGTGAAGACGGCCCGCGTTCAGAAGGGTTGACAAACTGTGCTGTGGTAAAACGCTCAGTCCAGCTGGTGGTGCTAATACTAACTTCAGCGACTACCTCGTTGTCCGAGTTAAAGACCTTATGCAGGGTTTATTTTATTTTATTGTGGATATCAAAATTGCATGACAGTTAATCAATTATTGTTGATCTGAAATAGATTCTAGCAACAAAAAAAATCCTATATTTTATAAAAATAATGTGTTTTTAGTGAATTTAAGTTTAGTTAAGTTTAAGCATTGAAAGCCATGGATCTATGCCACAGATACTCTCCTATCTTCTCTCCTCTCCACTGATGTCCGACACAATACTGCACTCTACAGGTGTCAATTGCTCATTACACATATATTGCCGTTTGAGAGTGAAAATGTGACTGAGTTGAGAATTGAACGCCAGTTGCTGGTGTGAGGAATGAGGAAACATACACTAGTAGTAGTCTTATATTTTCTGTACACCGCCTTGTCATCTTGAATATCCGCAAAAAAAGATCAAATACCAAATTTTAAACAAGTTACAGCGTTGAAACGTATCCGCTCTGACGTCACCAAGGGCTGTGAAATTTTTTCGTTTCTAAGGGCGTTGCTATGGGGTTATTTCGATTTGGGGGGATCAGACACAGGGTGTAAATGAGGCGTACGGAAAAAAATTACACTTTTCAGCATTTATCAACCTGGAAGTGGGCATATGGCACGCACAAAATATACTGAGTCAGGAGGTGGTGTGTGTACAGCCATCTCAACCTTCATCCCAACACGCAATAACCACGCATGAAATTCAAGACTTAGACAACAATAAACATATTCCTGCTCTGGCAAAATTATAAGTTGCGTTTCCATTGATTATCAAATTTTGAAATTTTTATTTGCTATCTGAAAATGTCTAATGAAAACAAGCACACTTCTCTTTCTTCTTTTTAAAATTTCACTTGCATGTGTATTTTTAACAGCATGTTTTTTAAAGGAACAATATGTAATAAAAATCTGGCCAAAAGTGGTACTGCAGTCACAGTCAATATTTTGTAGTCCTCTCCCACTCTCCCTGACTCAGGTTGCCAGATACACACCAAATCCAGCAGCAAACACAGGGAATTATTTTATCAGTTGTTTGTCTGTCTCCATTCACATTGCCATGAGGCATGCTAATTTTGAATGAATCATGTTGAATTTTTTTTTTTGGACCTTTGAGATAAAAAACACAAACCAAAATAAAAGCAATGTAATTATAGATTATCCAAAATAAATAAGCAATTGATGTCCAAAATAGGAGTGGGAAGAATGGATGTTGGAATGTATTTCTTCAGCGTCTCAACATCAGGGTTTGCTCCAGAGGATATCACCTTTCAATTTTATTTATTCCCTATTTTTTAGACAAACATGTACAAGTCCCACATCAAAAAGAGACTAACATTATTTTAATTGGGTACATGTGGTCTTAAATGATTCTTTTTACAATTAAGCTATAATCTGCAAAAGAACGTCTTGACCTTCGTCTTTTACCGTTTTTAGAGAAATCTGTCATAGAATGTGATAACATGCAATTAAATACAAAAAAAGTTCCTTTCCAGAATCGAACCCGGATTGCTGCACCGTGAGTGCGTCGTCTTAACCACTAGACCACCGATTAGCACTGTAAACACTGCTCTGAAGAAAGCAGCAAATTTTGCATCACACGTAAACTTTTATCCGCTGTCTCAATTGTTCAAAGGCGTCCGGATATAAATCCTCGTTTTAGTCTTTGTTTTGTCATTAATTATTTGAGAGTCATAACAAGACCTTTTTTAGTTCTGCGGCCACATGTTATTTTATCACTGAGATTAGTGAGCCGCGCGGAGTTCTGGCAACCCGATCACGGACTTCCTGATTGGCGAAACGGCGGAGGGTAGGACATCAAAATCAATCAATATTCAAATATCTCGGCTGAACTACTGTTATCATTTAAAGATGTATTCGAAAAGAGCATGATTTAATAACGCCTTTTGAAATATTGGGGCCATTTAATGATGACTTGACATGCAAATATTACATACTGCTCAGTGTTTCCCACAGGTTTGAAGGCAATGTGTGGTGGTCGTCGGCGGGGGGGGGGGGGGGGGGGGGTGGTACAGTGGTACAGTGGTAGAGGACAATCTTGAGGCCATGAATCCAGTGAAATTAGTCGCACACCTTTTTACAGTAATAAGTTACAGCAGATCAAAAGTGACATGTTTTGACAATTTTTAGGCTATTTTGGACCAAAATGGCTACTATAAATCAATATTTCTCAATATTTCTACAGTAAAAGTGTCTGGTCTTTGGTACAGTGGTAGAGGACAATCTTGAGGTCATGAATCCAGTGAAATTAGTCGCACACCTTTTTACAGTAAAAAGTTACAGTAGATCAAAAGTGACATGTTTTGACTATTTTGGAGGTATTTTGGACCAAAATGGCTACTTTACCTCAATATTTCTCAATATTTCTACAGTAAAAGTTTCTGGTCTTTGGTACAGTGGCAGAGGGCAATAATAAGGTCATGAGTCAAGTGAAATTAGTCGCACACCTTATTCCAGTAAATAGTTACAATACTTGAAAATTGCACTAGCGGACCAAATTGTGTACTTTATACATGTAAACAATAGAGTGGCTATCCTCCTGAGGACTCACAATCTGCCGGAGGAATCGTAGGGGGCTGGTGCTATGTGTGCCGGGTGGCATCTCTATAAGGTTTTAATCACAAAAACGTGTCTCCCTGACCCCAGCGCGCTTTCTGTTCGATAAAAATGGGTGACTCCGAAAGGACGTTCCGCTGTTACCGTAAGTTCTCAACAAAACGCGCACCGTCTTTTCCCGATGCGGGCCGCATGTTCATAGAGCTGAAAGATGCGGGCCACTTTACCGCGGTAAATTAATAGACACAGCTGCTTACAGCGATGATCGCTGATGGAGACGGAGACACGCGGTGTGCACGAAGGGGAGGGGCTGTGTGTGTGTAGGTCTCTGTATGTGGGAGAGACGCGTAGCTTGAGTGAGAGTTACGAAGGGCCGCCACATTTTAAACCCCCCTCCCCGCTGTCAAATTGACCGCTGCGGCGGCACTAGACGATGCATGTTTTAAATAGCGTAACAAAAAAATATATATATAATAATACGAAACGCAATTTGTGGCGGGCGGTCTCTAATCTGTGGCGGTGCGCCACAGATTAGTCTATGTGTGGGAAACACTGCTGCTACTTAAAATGTAAAGCGATTTGTGATCCTGGTCTGTGAAAGGCGCTATACAAATACACTTTATTTACACTTTATTTACAACAGGGTTGTGTGACCCATCTGTTGCTCCCTAAATCTAGGGCAGGCCCTGCGCTGTGTAATTACGCATGGGTATTTGTTTTGCCTCAAATCACATCTGGCAAAGCAATGTATTTTTTCACACCCCATAAACGCACCGGTGGACTGTGGTCTTGCTCACTCCAAAAGGTCTGCCTTGTACTCTGCATGTAGCCAGTTTATAGATGGCAACGCACTTATCTGTGGAAACGGGCACTTGGGCAGTGCGCAGCGGGTGCCACAGAGGTCCCACCACATACCTCCTCAAATGTGGTGTGCGTCATTCAGAAGTGTTGGATCCAGAGTTCCTCTGTGAAATCATGGACCACTACTTTCCAAAAGCTTCTCATATGCATCCTCTTTCAAGTGCACGGAGATCGCCACTCCAATGCATTCACAAGAAGATGCCGCAGACGCTTTATGTTTAATGAGAGCTACCGCTGAGGTAGATATATTAATATTCATTCATTATTTATTTACTTCAAGCTCAGAGATTTTTGCAATATATCAAAAAAGTTTAGCAAATTTTCTCAGCTTAATAAAGCGTATATTTCGTTTTAAACAAAAATCAACTCAACTCTTTAGGATTGTGTGTCACAGGCCATTAGAGGCTTCCAAACAATCTTCCGGGCCGTCTTCCATTCAGCTATGTCTCAAAAATGGGGAGTGAAGCAGGCGGTTGCTGAATATTTATAGGTGTGACTTTAATAAATAGATTTGTTTTCAGCCGCCGCATTTATCAAAGCCGCAGGTGCTTACTCTCGGATCTGGGCGGATCTCACACGTCCATAAATCCCACATTGGATATTGCGTATCTGGAATATACACCCAAAATATACACCCTTTTTTGCGCAAGTTTCATAAATGAGGGCCATTGTGAACAAGTGTGAGATGTGTCTTTCCCCAATGTACAGGGGGAAAGCCGGCCGGCTCTGATGCTAACAGAGTTATGCTAGCTTCTCGTGTAAAGATCTTCTCCAATAATGCAGCTTTGCAGGGTGTCTGTGTTCAGAGACCTTCCACGGATTTTATCTAACAGTAGTATGTGTTCACGGAGGTGCGCAATAAGTTTATTTTATCATTAAACGGTACTTCCGCATCGGCGAACACACTCTAAGCAGTTGCATAAAGTCACGGGAGCATGACAACGCATTTAACCACACAGTCCCCCATTGTCAACCCTGGTTTTAAGTCGAGGTGTAGCTCCTGTTTTGACTGTTTACAGTATGTTCAGTCTGCTCGCTCAGACCACTAATGTCCCTGTGACTAATTTGCGGCTCTCTAATTGGTCGCTGCACGAACGTCCCGAGGAAAGATTGAGCAAAGTTTATCTCCTGTGGGCGTCCATTTTCCGCTCCTGCTCCTCCTCTTCGACTTTCCCGCGCAGTCCGTGCGTCTCTACTGAACAGTCCGTTTGTGCGTCCCGAGATGTTGGTGCGTTTTGACGCTCGAACGCGCATCACCATAGACTTTGCATTGAAAGCCGACGCAACGCATGATCCGGTCTGAAAGCACCATTAGTGTTTTCTGGCCATAAAATAAAGTCTGATTCTTGAATGCCTGAAGTGTTATTGGAATAGCACCACACCGTGACAGCGAGGGTCAGAACATAAGGGAGTTATCCCCGAAACGCATCCCTTTGGCCCTTGTCTCCCCTGTCCGCCGGCTTACATGAAAGGTTTAACACAAGCAGGGAGAATACGTAAGTATGAGACTGGAGTAGTGCCCTGCACGGGCCTATCATCTGGGCCTGAGCCCGGCCCTGGCCCGAGGGGGTGGAGCGCCAGCCCGGCCCGGTCCGACAGGTTTTCAGAATTCCTAGGCCCGAACCCGTATCAAGCCCGTATATAGCATATAGTGCCGCGCACTGATTTGAACACAGGCCCGGCTAGAGGGTGGAGTTATACATGGTAGTGTGTTGCAATAAGTTCTGTGTGTACGGGTAGAGTGAAGATGCCGTAATAAACCACAACACACTTGAAGGTACTATACAGAACAACAAATACTACAGTGTGATAGAATGCTATATTCATTGGGTGCGTTTGTAAATGTAATCTGCCTCCCTGAAAATGAATAAATAAAAGTGTCTGAGCCCGGCCCGTGTCCGAGGTAATTATACAGGCATCGGCCGGAAGGGCTTAGGGCTCGAGTGCAGGGCTCTAGACTGCTGGGAGAGACGTTCGTGAAAATGCACGTCAGAACGGGCGCTGCAGAAAGACGTAGTGTGACGCACAATATCAACACCTCATCCCCCACTCCCCAACACCCGCCACAGTGACCCCCCTCATCTGGGCTTTAGAAGCGTGCTTGGGCCCACCTCTCAACCGGGCCCAAGCCCACTTGCAGCAATTGTGCCCAAGCCCACTTGCCGCGGTCACATAGCACCTAAAGCCCGGAATTTATCGCGAAGTGGGCCCACTTTAACCGGGATTTGGACTGTGCATTTGCCTGCAGCCAATCTATAGAGAAAACTCATAGTATCCTCGATCTGGTCCTTCGGGTCCTTTCCCAAAGTTTACAATCATAGGTGAGGGTGACGGGTAAATCAGACGCCGCTCCCTCCTCACCACAGTCCCATACTGTATCAGTCTCACAGTCCATCTTTTTGAGTGTTCGCCAAAACATTCCTGGAAACAAGCTTATGGTGGAATTGATTTCAAATGTGGCGTGATTTTACTTTTTTGCTCCTCCTACTTTGTCACTCCTCAGCCTTCTAGCCTCTGGCTCGGACGATCAACATGCCATCATCTGGGACCCGTTCAAACAGAAGAAGCTCACTACTATGCACACAGGACACGCAGCAAACATCTTCACTGTGAAGGTAACACGCACATAGTGTACCCCATCAGAACAGGTGTACAATGCAGCATCAACTATACATTTTTTTTTAGAGCTGTTAAATGATTGAAATCTAAAATGCAAATATAATCGCAATTATTGTCATTAATGTCATAGTTAACTAGTGAGTACTCACAATTAATCGCAAATTTTTCCCTTGATTTGGTTTGAAAATGCATTGGATTAAGCAAAAAGCATACAGTAATTCATTCCCCTCCAAAAAAAAAAAGTACTTAGATTGTCTAATATATGCTACTCAATCTCTTTTTGTTATTGCTTTTTACAGCATGTGTTCACTAGGGGTGGACACTAATCTCACGATATGATACACAATATTCAGCTCAGGGTACAATATACACCATATTCAGTCAACAATACAACTCAATTTGATATAATTCGATACTTACATAATTTCCTGAACAATTTAAGTTATTAAATAAGTTAACTAAAAACTAAAACATCCATTACACAATCTATTTGAGAGCATGTAGAGTTTATAAATGTTGGACAAATTGAATCAAATTGTTTCAAAATTATTTCTATTTATTAAAAATAGTGCACAATGTTGATTACAAACGTTTTGAAAGGTAAATAAAGTGCATTGAAAATAGCAATGGAGAGATAAAAAGTGCAGCAAGTGGCCTGTTTGTGTCAGACATTTTGCAAACCGCAATGCTTTTGTCTAAAGGCATGTTCACACCAAACGCGTCAAAACGCCTGTGACGCCCGTTTATTGACACTGGTTTATTTTGAAATTGACGCGCGTGATTTTGGTGTCACTTGTCTGTGACACTTGTTGTCTGTGATGTGCGTTGGGAGGAGCTTCCCTATATCCGGTAGTCCAGAGACAATGGCAGATTTCCAGAGATCACCGTGCCTTTATTTGTTATATAAAGCCATATAGCGTCGTCGGCTTCTATAAAACGTGTCGCCTGCATCGGAGCTTGCATCGCCCGCCCTGGACACAAACTGCAGGCGCTCGATTCCCGCACTCTATCTGTCGGCTGGACAGCTGTCAGTAATTTACTACACATGCTGTGAAGTAAATTACTTTTACTTCACAGCATGTGTACATTGTGCACATGCTGCATGTTCCCAGATGTCTATTCTATATTTTATCGAGCCAGCAGGTGACAGCAGCGCTGCGTCTGGATGTTTTGAAAACAAGATGCACTTGTTGTGCCTCTTTTTTCTCAGCTTTTTGTCTTAGACTGGTGATTTCAGTAAAACTTCCCTCTACTCGTCTGGGGATTACAGGGGAACGAAACAAGCTAGAAACAAAATTCTTTTTGCTGATGAAAGTAGACAGTCCATTCTTTCAGAATCTGGATTTCAGATAGTCAGAGTACAAAATATTCTGTGGGTTTTGAAAAATCAATAAAAATCCTCTGAAACTGCTGGCAATATGGGAGTACCTGTTCTGAAATAGGCTGGCATGCAATGAGTTAAGTATCTATACTCTCGGTTAAACAATATTTTCTTTCCCACACGTTTATCAAACAAAACCATCATGCAATTAAGATTGCATGATAAAAAAATTGACAGCATTAAAAATAGTTTACGTTAACGCGTTAAACTGACAGCACCCATTTTTTTATAATGTAGTTTTTGTATTTGACAAAGCAAATTCATAAACATTTCTGTAAATGTGCCAGAAGTGGCCCAACAGCTGTTTTTTATGCTCTGTACCTGAACAGATAATAAAAGTCAACATCTCTTGTGCTTTTCTTGATGCAGTTCCTTCCTCACTCCGGTGACAGGATTTTGGTGACAGGAGCCGCTGACACAAAGGTCCATGTCCACGACGTCACTGCAAAGGAGACCATCCACATGTTTTCTGACCACACAAACCGAGTGAAGCGCATCGCTACTGCCCCCATGTGGCCCAACACCTTCTGGAGCGCTGCCGAGGACGGGATCATCAGGTACGAACAGGCTTTAGATGGGCCATGTTGTATCCATGTTTACAGGCCTGCTCTTGGCTTAGCCCCATCCACACTAGTACTATGAATAAAGATGGTCTGGAGATGACACTAGATCAGCTCCACATGTCCAGAACACTTGTATTAATCATTAGAAGGAGGTGCACGCTTGGCAGGGATTATGGACATTGTTTTTTTTGGTCTCACGTCTGACCAAACCAGCCACAGAGACCATGAGGACAAATGCATACATCTGGCATTTTGTTGCTGTATAGCTGTCCCCTGGCATGTACTATCTTCTACACTTATCCTTAGAATATACAGAGACAGCCGCAGCCGCCGTGCTTTTGTGCTCACGTTAACCGCGCAATAATAAAATGTACGTTCTTAAAATGGTTTTGTTGTTTGTTTTGCCATTAACCCGTTTAACTGACATTTGTAATTGTGTGTATATATTAATGCTGTCAAACAATTAATTATTTAATTGCATTAATGTCATAGTCAACTTAACTCATTGAATGCCAGCCTATTTCAGAACAGGTAATCCCTTCTGATGATTTTTACTTATTTTTCAAGACCCACAGAATATTGTGTACTATGACTATCTGAAATCCGACACCAGATTCTAAAAGAATGGACTGTCTACTTTCCTCAGCAAAAAGAATTTTATTTATAGCTTTTTTTGTTCCCCTGTAATCCTCCGTTGAGTAGAGGGAAGTTTTACTGAAATCACCAGAAATCACCAGAAAGTTGAGAAAAAAGAGGCACGACATGTGCACCTACATGTTTTCAAACCATTCAGAGAGAAATGCTGCCACCTGCTGGCTCGATAAAATATGGTTTCAAGTCATCCCCATACATATTAGATACAATAGACATCTGGGAACGTGAAAATAGCAAAAAAGGCATTTGACATATTAATGCGTCAATGGGACACAATGAGTTAATATTAATCGGAAATAATCACACGTTTTCCCGTTATAAATGTCCTTTATGGACAAAGCAAATGGATTGGACAAAGCATAAAGCTTGTATTATTTCAATCCCCTCCAAAAAGATACAAATAAGATATCAATAAATCTTCCACAAATAAATTCAGATGAATGTATTTATTCTTGTATAAGCCCTAAATCACAACAGTAGTTATCTCAGAGGACTTTAAATTGCCAAAACAGATTCAAGAATCAAACACAAAAATTATAGAACACATAGGAATTGGTCCATAGGGGGAGTTGACCAATGTCCATGAATGTTGTAGAATGTTAGAGTGTCCTGGCTCATCACCACAGACCTTTTTGTTGAATCCACTAACCGTCTATACAGAACCTCCTGCATCAGCAAGGAAAAACATCAAAACCCAGTGGGAGAAAAGTGAGAAACCTCTGGTAAGTCCACATTGAGAGAGCCTATAGAGCCAGGACTTGAGCTACAGAACAAGGACCAAGGCCACGCAGCGGTTGTAGAACGAGGACAGGTGTCGTGCAGGACTGAAGCAACTCCCAGGGGAGGCCGGAGGTGCAGATGCAGATACCTAACCACATGCTGAATTGAGTTGTTTTGACTGTTTTAAGCCTGGCCTTGAATGTAGAGACCATGGATGTGAAGCTGATTCCACAGTAAAGGAGGAAGGATAAAATACTGGTAATCACTATAAAATATGCCCATTCCAATCAATATCCATATTGAAAAATGTCCTATTTGCTAACAAGCGATAGCCTTAGCTCCCATCCTATGCTTATTAGAAACCTTAAAAATTGTAGAAGCTTTTGAAAACCTGAGCTTCAGTTCTTCTTCAGTACTCTGTGTAATTTTTACAGTTGCTCTAAATGAAAAAAACATGTTAACCAATAACAAATGTGACCTTTTTATGAATATTTACCCTTACTATGTTTTGGCTAAAGCTAATAATATGAGCTTTTAGCTACAGTTCTGCCGCTGTGTAGGCCCATGTCCAAGGCAATATCCTGGCTTCTCTGATCATAGTGGATTTAAGCTCCCACAGACGTCCCATTCATGGCACCAGATCATGAAGTGGCACCAAGTCAGAAGCCTGCCTTCAAAGGGTGATTGACAGTGAGGATATACTGAGTCAGCGAAGTTTATGATCAGCGCATGCAGCCTCTCTCTGCGTCCAGTGTATGGTCCATAGCCTTTAAATTAGTATGGTCCCATGTCTACAACCGATAGACTGTGCTTTTTGTGTTGGAGGGATGTCAACTAGGAGAAAATGTGTTTGTTTTTTAATGTAAATATGTGACGTAAGTATTTGGCCCCAAGACGTAGAATGAGGCGAATTTGGATTGACTTTATTCACTGGGATCTGCCTCTGAAATCTGCGATGAATGTGTTTTTCTGCAAGTGACACTTAACCAAAGACTGTTACAGAACAATGGTTACCATGAAACTGGACTTACTCAAAAGCTGATATTGAAACCTGGTTTTATTCCATAAATAAAAGTCGCTAAAGAGAAGCCTCAATCAGTAATTAGAATGCAACAAACTCGTCGTATAGTGTAAACTAAATAATTAGGATCCGATTCTGGATCAAGGACATAGGGCTCTATATGTCACAGGTCACCATTGTTAGAAAAACATTTATTTTCAGGTCTGAAATTACTATGTACCGGCAAAAGCTGTGCACCTTTCGCTGATTTGTTTACCTTGAACATAGAGTGAGGCTACGTCACTGCGCGGGTTGGGGGAGGAGGGCTCACAAAGAAAGGAGCAGAGATGCACTCGTTTCAATATATGTGGCATCACCTCTATGCAAGAAAGGGCTATAATTTCACATGTTTTTAGTTTTTTTTAAATTATCACAAATGTGCTTAGAATGGACTGTGAAAAATTAGGAAAATGAATACATTAAATTTTAAATGTGTCCAAACTCTGCTTCATAGACTGGTTCTATGACATTCCTGTAAGACTGATATGGATGTTTGCAGACAGTACGACCTGAGGGAGAGCAGTAAACACTCAGAAGTGCTCATTGACCTGACAGAGTTCTGTGGTCAGCTCGTGGAGGCCAAATGTTTAGCTGTGAATCCTCGTGACAATAACTACCTTGCAGTTGGAGCAAACGGGCCGTTTGTGCGCCTCTATGACATCCGAATGATCCACAACTACAGGTTTGTGCTTTGTTCTTCCGTTTTTATTGCAGATACTGTAAAACTCATCATTTGTCCTTCTCACAGAAAGTCGATGGTCCAGAGCACCTCTGCTGCTGTGCACACCTTTTGTGATCGCAAGAAACCCATACCAGACGGAGCAGGACAGTATTATGTTGCAGGTGAACAGGATGCAGTATGTGTATATTAACATTGAGTATTTTAGGGACTCATGTTTGAACTGTGTGGACTAGGACACTTACCCGTCAAACTACCCGACTACAACAACCGGCTCAGGGTCCTAGTGGCCACATATGTAACGTTCAGTCCAGACGGGACGGAGCTGCTGGTAAACATGGGCGGAGAACAGGTGATCCTCAAACATCATGTGCTGATTCATACTAATATACATTATGTAAGGATTAAATAATGAGGAGTCGTGCATTATACAGTTGTAATGCATGGCTCCTCGTTGTTGTTTAATCCGCTTATACAATGGTCTTGTGAATTCAAGTGTGTAAAATAAATTTATTGACTGGCCAAATATGCTTAAAGGCACACCGTGTAACTCTTGGCCACTAGGGGCGCTAGACCTGCAACTTTCACGTTTAGCGCCCCTAGTGGCCACAAGCAACTCCCCACTGTCGCAAAAGTCAACAAACAGTCAGCCGGTGTCTTTTGAGTGTGTATTCAGACAGCATGCACTGGTGTGTGTGTTCAAACTGTAGAGACATGCCTACAGATATTGAGAGACTCTGCTGTGGTCAGCCTCCAGACCGCTGCATTAGTAATCTACCACACATGGACTTCTATATCCTGGATGAGGGAGTTCTGCGTCTAGCTCGTGCTGCGTGGAATGACATCTTTGCAGTCGATGACATCCAGGAACCAGGTGAAGAGCAGCGCTCATACAGACATGCAGCTTACAGCACGATCCCTTTCGCGTTTCCTCTTTTTAGCCTCCTCCGAAGGTTTAAAATTTTTCCTTGCCTCAGCCATGACCAGGAGTCGAGCAGGTGAAAAATGAGTAGCAACAGCCTTAGCTCCATGAGTATATCAGCGCCTGTAGCCGTAAAGCAAGTCTTTCTTCCAAGTCACGTGACCTGGTGGCAGACGGTCCGTCTGCTCGAAACTTACATGGGCGGTATTTCAAGAGGGCAGCCCCGCTCGGAGCATTGCAAGTGTCAAGCGCTGTATATTGGCCCAAGTATTCATATAAAATAACTCATATGTGTCAACTCTTTAGGTCACAAAGTCCGCGGTGTGCCTTTAAGTATAGGGATTATTTAAGAAGTTCGCCTTAGCAACAATTGTAAAGATAAATGGGAACTACTTTTATTAACAAGTTAATTGACACAACATTGACATTTACACAGACCAAATGGGTATCAATTCAAATTGCAAACTTCCATTCCTCAAAGGTTTTGTTATGTATTTAAAAAGTCTTAAAATAGCGACAGGTTACTTTTTTGGTGTTCTCTTCCTCTTTCTCATCTTCAATTCTATTCAGTTCCTCCAATGTTAACTCCTTGTGTTGTTGCTTTTATCGTTCTTCTTTGTGGTTCTCTTCCTCCCATTCCTCAAAGGTTTTGTTATGTCCAAATATGTTAAAATTCACTTTGAAATCTGGTGCTATAAGTTGCTACGGCTTGTCACCTAATTGATAGTATATTTGATCCAGCTGTTAGTTACTATGCAGAGCATGATAGTAACTGTAACAGATACTGCACGGCAGTTAGCATTGGAATTCTCACAGACCATGGTATAAACTTCATTATTTGTAATGAGACTCTGGTGTCTTCTCAGGTCTACCTGTTCGATCTTACATTTAAACAAAAGCCGTACACTTTCTCCCTTCAAAAGAAGCCACAGTCATCACCAGGTAGTGAGTCGTCTTCTACAGTTTTCTACTGTTTATTATTTTTTCTAACTTTTTCTACAGATGTACAGAATGGCAGAACGACTAATGTGTCTAATGGGATTCACCTTCCAACAAGCCATGTTCACTTAACTGAAAGTAGGATTCATGCTTGGTAAGAACTATTTAACACTGCACATACTGTAAGTTTACAGGACGGCAACTGAACAGTAGTTTTATCATGAAAACTATTATTCTTTCCATGATTCCAATAGTTTTTTCAGAAGCAAATGAGTGGTAAATCCTGTTAAGGTTGTCATATTTTCAGACAAACTGTTATTTCAGTATAAACAGTTACACTCTGCCAGGTTGTTGGCATGTTTTCACCAGGGTTTGTTTGTCTGTCTTTGTTAGTTAGCAACATAACATCCGGTAACTTCGCCTCTTGGTGGAAGTCTGGTTTTCTGGCAATTTTCAGAGAACACATACAGTGGGGCAAAAATGTATTTAGTCAGCCACCAATTGTGCAAGTTCTCCCACTTAAAATAATGACAGAGGTCTGTAATTTTCATCATAGGTACACTTCAACTGTGAGAGACAGAATGTGAAAGAAAAATCCAGGAATTCACATTGTAGGATTTTTAAAGAATATATTTGTAAATTATGGTGGAAAATAAGTATTTGGTAAATAACAAAAATTCAACTCTATACTTTGTATTATAACCTTTGTTGGTAATAACAGAGGTCAAACAATTACTATAGGTCTTTGCAAGGTTTGCACACACAGTAGCTGGTATTTTGGCGCATTCCTCCATGCATATCTTCTCGAGAGCAGTGAACACGGACTTTCAACTCCCTCCACAGATTTTCAATGGGCTTGATGTCTGGAGACTGGCTAGGCCACTCCAGGACTTTCAAATGCTTCTTACGGAGCCACTCCTTTGTTGCCCGGGTGGTGTGTTTGGGATCATTGTCATGCTGGAAGACCCAGCCACGTTTCATCTTCAAAGCTTTCACTGATGGAAGGAGGTTTTGGCTCAAAATCTCACGAGACATGGCCCCATTCATTCTTTCCTTAACACGGATCAGTCGTCCTGTCCCCTTAGCAGAAAAACAGCCCCAAAGCATGACGTTTCCACCCCCATGCTTCACAGTAGGTATGGTGTTCTTGGGATGCAACTCAGTATCCAAACACGACGAGTTGAGTTTATACCAAACAGTTCTACTTTGGTTTCATCTGACCACATGACATTCTCCCAATCCTCTGCTGTATCATCCATGTGCTCTCTGGCAAACTTCAGACGGGCCTGGACATGCACTGGCTTCAGCAGGGGGACACGTCTGGCACTGCAGGATTTGATTCCCTGTCGACGTAGTGTGTTACTGATGGTAACCTTTGTTACTTTGGTCCCAGCTCTCTGCAGGTCATTCACCAGCTCCCCCCGTTGTGGTTCTGGGATTTTTGATCACCGTTCTCATGATCATTTTGACCCCACGGGATGAAGTCACAAGGACGACAGGTAAGCAGACGGAATTATAAAAACGATATCAGCCATTTGAACAAGAGCGAAATATTAACGGTTCGATAAATAAAAACATTGATCTGCTGACAGAGCAAAAGCCCTCACCATCCAGGCGAAAGGAATTTTACCCAACACATTCTAGACGCCTCCAGTGGACAAGGGGAACATCAGCACACCCGGAAACGCCTACCACCTTAAGAGCCAGGTATGAGACTGACGTCATCAGAAGTCTCCCGTAAAAAAAAATATGTGCCCTCGAGGGTTTTGAAGTCATGACCGACAGGGGCAACGCACTGGGATAAGAGCAAGCATAGAATATACGGCTCGGGTGGCGAAGGTGTGATATTCTGATATCTAGATTGTAAGAATAATTAAAACTGCAGACAAAAATTTAAACTCTGGAGAAAAATCATACTTAAGTCTGAATTTCTGTATCCAAAATTGTACGGACCACAACGTTAAGCCAAAGGGATTATTGGCTATCACCAGAAACCATGCAATTTCGACAAATGTAGGAAGATCCATAGTCTTCGATCCCCCTCAACTGCATTTAAGATAATACAACCAAACAACAGATACTTATTGTCGATAGATCACACGAGTAGATTGTGGTTATTCCTTTCAACAGAACAACAGCCGTACACTTTCTATATCCAAAATGACTATCAAGAATATATAAATCTTGAATCTATCGTTCTTTCTGTTTATAGCTATTCGAAACACAGATTACACATGAGTCTTTCTCCAGCAATTCAAACAGAATCCATTTCAAAAAGATGCTCCACATAGTGGGAGTCATAAAGTGACATCTCTCACACTTACTACTCACGTAACGACCAATGCTACATCGTTAGCCTAAATTATCAACCAGATCCGCCTTTCTTACTCCAATAGCCAAATTATCTCTCTCTTCTATTTAACATTATCTCTCTCCCACCTTCTTTCTCACTTTTTATCATCTATTGATCACATCCCTCTACCCATCACTCTACCACTTTGCACCACACACTTCTGCGGCCACAGTGGATCGTCACTTAGCACGTTAGCCAATCAGATAACTCACCCAGAACTGCTCTCTTGTCCTAGGCGCCGCCCTACAAATCATAAAAACACCCAAAGGACAGACGCCTCGATGGCCCGACGGCACTGTCAGACATCCGATTAGAAAAAAAATTAAAGACACTCCCATCCGTAGACGTTTGTGTACCTGCCACGATAGCAAAGAGAGAGAGAACGATGAAGACTAGCCACCGGCTTGAAGAATTAGACAGATTTTGAGCTATGTTGGAGTCCATTAGCCGGCTGGGGTATGATCGTGCACTGGAAAACGAGCAAGGAAAAGAATCGGGATTGGGGCATTGGGATGAAGAGGTAGTGTGGATTAGCTTGTGATAATATGATGAAAGTAATTAGAGCTTGTCATAATTGCTCATCACATAGGAATCTCCCCGGTCTGAGCGGCAGCTATTAGCAGCCGTACAAAGCCATTCATTACACTAACCAAGTGATGAATCAAAGCAGCATAATTCACTTAACGTAACGGTATATCCCCGGCACATCCGAATTGATGTGTGTTGTGTGATGTGTGTGCCGTGTGTGTGTGTGTGTGAGTCTATCAGAATTAACCACATAACGTACTATACGAAGTGGAGTGCAGAGGCAAACGTTGGCTCAGTAGGTTTTATTAGCGGGCTCTTTGAAAACTGCCTGTCCAAACTAGCAGAAGGAGACATCGATATGAGCAACAATAACTGCATGGGTGGTGAAACGGAGACAGAATACGGCACAGAACTGTAAATTAATTAACGAACGCTAAGATCACGCCCTATCTACCCCCGAAATCTAACTTCTGCCATTGCAACATAATGCAGGATACTTTATCAACTAATCTTTTTTTTAAAATTTCTACAACGGCCTGGCGGCAAGTCGACTGAAATGCTAAAAAAATACTCATTCTGCGCATGTGCAGTTGCACGGGCTCCATTCATTTAAACGAGTGACTTCATAAATCACAGCGACAAAACTAACATTGTTAGATTGGACTAAATTCTTATTCGGGTCCCCCCCCACAGGCACCGGGTGGTATTGCAGCATGTCAGCGCAACGTCATTTTGGACACTTTTGAGCCGTGACCCCGCCCCTCAGCAGAAACTCATACATAAAATTACAAAATAACTGAAATAAAACAGTGAAATTCAAATTTGTTATCCTGTGCATTGCCCTTAAATTACAACAGCAGTCGTCTCAGTCGGTTGAACAAATATTACAAACGATGTCTAATGCAAGAATTCAAAAGAAACCCAATGCATAAATGAACAACCCATTGGTCCACAGGAGTCTGATGACTCCATTACAACACACTGCTCAAGAAACGTCAATCTCGCAAGTACTCCAAGGTGTAGACCACCTTCGTTCTACAGCATTCTGAGTCCTCGGCATACAAAGCCTGGTCTCCTTCAACTCAACCACGGACTCCTCTGCAAGGTTCTTGTATATTCTCTCTGGGGCTTTTTTTAAGTCGTTCTCTTGCTTTCGTTATATATTGTTGTATCTTACCGTCTTCAAACAGTATATGAATTCTTTTCTGTTGTGCCGAATTTGACAACTTTGTAAAGTCCTTCGAGACAATTCAAATTACAAAATAGTTTAATTAATTGGAATTTGAATCGATATGTTACTCAGCTCGACAAATGGCAAGCTCTTACATCTAGGATATCTGAAACCGAATTGATTCAATCTTTCATGTCCACCAAACCTAAGCATCTAGATTCAAGAGGTCCATTACGGGCTCCGAATCCCGATACAGAGAAACCAGGGCTTCCTGTGAGTGAACGAGTTTTGCATGTTTCATCCCTCAGAGTCTAGGCGGTAGAGACGTTTCACAGGGCGGGATAGGCCTCCCGAATTTCCACTACCACTGAGAAATAAGATAGTTCCCAAAGTAGAAGTCTCCATAAGCTACTTCGATAGAAAATCCGTGGAATAGAGGAGACAGGTAGCTATTGGACAAATCTTCAACGAGAGCTTTTGACTCCAGACGTCTACGTACTGCTTTCAGACCTCTGATCAACCCACGTTGATGAGCACGCGGACCTATCGGAGAACACAACCCACACTTAAAACAAATTGATACCAACACAAGCAACTCAATTTGCGTGGGACAACTACGCTAACAAGAGATATACAGATCTACCCCATCACTATAATCTCCAAATAGCCGAGACTGAGCTAGCTAAGCAATCACCTTTTTTAGAGGAAGTTCGTGCAACACAAATTAGCTCTCATAATCAAATTTCACATAAGAATCACACGATTTTCTCTAAATTCCTCCTGTGCCCTCTATAAACACAATTAATTCAAGAACATTGGATTTCCATATTCGCTCTTTCAGATTTAATATTAAAAAAATCTGACATGACTTTGTAATTTATTACCACGTCACTGAAAGGCTAACGCTCACAACAATGAGCGCAGTACTGACCAATTAAATCATCTCTGTTCTGCGCTCGCGCGTCGGCTCATGCGCCTCGCACGAGTCAATAATTGTAATAAAAAATAGAGCTCTAGCAAAGTGACCTCTGCGAGCGCTGAAGCGAGTTCTAACAATGATAGACTGGTCCAATCCATCCACAACCAATAAAAATCATGGGCA